TGAACGGTTACAGAGAAGGGAGGCACATTTCCAAGTCTTTTCTTTTTTTACTCACTAGATCACCAGTTTACTACAGAAAGATGCAGCTCAGGAGCAGTCAGATGGGACTGAGGCACAGGGCAAGGCGTGGGCAAGTGCTCAGAGGTCCCGGGTCCTCTCAGGCCCACCGCTCTCCCCAGACCTCCGCGCGCTCACCAGCCTGGAAGCTCTGTGTTTTCTTAAAGTGTGGGCAAGATGTGAAACTTGGACGGTGGGGACTGCTGTGTCTGCAGTGATACCACCCCTTTCAGTCCTGATTTGGAAATACGTCTTCTCTCTTTTTTTCTCTTGGTCAGCTTGGCAAATAGTTCATCTATTTTATTCATCTCATCTGTGTCTTTTTAAGTTTCCAAATCCAAGGCTGCCTTTTTTTGCATTCATATTACTCGATTTTCCCACAATCGTTTGCCACTTTGAGTCCTTGGCTTCTGCAACACTTCTCTCCCTCCCTTCCAAGTTTATTATCACTAACGGCTCATTTTCATCTTTCCAAACTCTGTGCTCATCTTCTGCTTTATCCCTTTAAAATCTCCTCCTCAGCAAGATCGTCTCCTTTATTCTCACGATCTCCTCACTCATGAGGACTTGTACTTCCAAACTCTCTCCTGCCCATCTAACACTATTGTTTCTGCTTTCAGTCAATGAATCCATCATCCCCCGAACTTGAAAACCCTGCGTCATTACGAACTCATTCTCGTCCTTCAACATCTCCATCCAACTGGCAACCAAACTGAACTTTCCCTCTCAAACTTTTCTTTGCATCTCTGCACCTGCCCTGATCCAGTCCCCAACCTGGATCTCCTTGTCACTGTCAGGATCTCAGCCGGCATCGTTCTCCGCCGACTGCTCTGTGCTCCTCCCCTCCAGGCCACCGATCACATGAAAATCAGTAATTTGTTAACATGCACCCCAGACCATGTCTGTCCTCTTCAGGGCTCCCTGCTGGTTTCAAGTTGAAACAGTTCTGCGTCTGCTCTCTGGGGTCGGCTCTTCCTCACGCCTGCCCACCTGCCTGGTGACAGACATTCCAGGCGCTTTCCCGCCTCCATGCCTTCATCTGTTCTGTCTCTCGGGCTGAGCTCTGACTCATCCTTCCTGACCAGGTTCAAAGGCTACCTTCTCTGTGAAGCCTCTTTTAAAATTTTTTTTCACTGAGGTATGATAGCAGTGTAAAATGCATGGAATTTAAGAGTGCAGTTGGGTGAGTTTTGACAACTGCATACACCCAAGTCAACAAACAGAGCACTGTCACTCCCGGACTCCCCAGGGCCCCTCCCACGACCACTGCTCCCCTCCACCAGACACAGCCCCCGCCCTGCCCTCTCCCGCTGCAGGTTAGCCCTGGCTGTTCTGCACAACGTCAAAGTCAAGGCAGCAGCACCTGCTCTCTCTTCCTGTGTCCGTCTTCTTCCGTTCGGCATAAACTGTCTGAGTCTGGACACGGAGTTCATTCCGTTTCACTGCTGAGTGGTGTCCATTGTGCGGACGCACCGCGGTCTGTCCACGTGGACTTGCTGATGGGCATTTAGATTTGTGTGGGGGGGGTGTATGACCCTGTCTTCATCCCTCTCTGTCCTTCCCTCTCCAAGCTACACAGCATACAGTCTACTCTAGGTGGTCTCTTTCCCCCGCTCAACTCTAATATTAAGAATAGCATTTAATTTCCTTGGTCACCGACACGTGACCTGAGACATGCCAAGTGCTTGGTTCCCGTCAGCTCATCCAATCAGGACACCAGTCCCACGCAGCAGACAGCACGCTTACACCGCTGATAGAGGGGACACGAAGGCCGCAGAGGCCTGGTCCTGCTCTGAGCTGACCCCTCCGGTGAGCAGTGGGACCAGGAGCAGGATCCAGACCGACCTGACGTCATCATTGCAGACTCCTAACAATGACGCCTGGTAAACATTAAGCTCTCACTTTTTAAAAATTTAGATTCAGTCCTTTCTAAAAAAAACCCCAGCACTCATCAAATATGGCAACGGTTAACCCCAAAGATACAACTTAGTCTCCACTGACAAAGTCAAGTAACTGCCCTTCTGAGACGCTCTCATACGCACGCTTATTTCAGAGCAGCCATTCTAGTTTGCTCAGAATTTTGTGCATCAGAGATCCGGGAGGATGCGGCCGGACACGGCTCGGGTCCTCTTGGGCAGCTGCGGTCAGACGTCAGCTGGGTTGCAGATATAGGGTTGGGGGCGGCTCGTCCTGGCTGCATGTCCACACGGCCAGATCTCCAGCACAGTGGTCTCCGGGCAGTCAGCCTTCTCCCCCTCATTTCTTCCATGGTGAGCATCCCAGGAGAACCAGGCAGAAGCCTCCTAGCCTCCCACGTCACAGAGCATCCTTCCACTGTGCCACGTGGGCTGAAGCAGTCACAATCCGTCCAGATCCATGGAGGAGGACACAGATCCCACCCCTCCACACCACAGGAGAGCATGCAGGACGGAAGCTGGCCTTTGCTGGAAAACAGGGCCTGCCACAGCCATCGCCCTAAGATCGCTGAACTTCAAGGCATGTACGTGGACTTTTGATGGTAAGAGCTTCAGCTTGGAAAACTCCTCTTTGGAGTCAACAGACTCATTTACCGAAAGCCAGAAAGTAGGTGGGCTTTACTGTGGAAACTAAATAGGCAGATTTGTTGTTACGTTTGTTTCATTTGAAAGTGACTGCGGTGCGTGATTTCAGAGACCTTCAGGTAGAAGCCCGCAGCTCCGCGAACCACACAGCGCCAAGCCAGTCTCATCAGCCAGCCCTGAAGGCGATGTCCTCAAGGGGAACTGGAAACAACTCCAAACGAAGCAATGCCGGGGGGCAGTGGGGGGCTGTGAAACCATCTACCTGAGCCATAATCACTTTCAGCGTGAGCTGGCAACTTACAAGCTGTCTGTAGGGCGAGCGTCGGCGGCGACGCCCAGGTAACAGGGGCAGGGCCCCAGCCTTACCTGGCTTCGCGAATGTGCAGCTGAGGGCGGTGGCTGTGCCTGTGACACACGTGCACCGTGAAGTCCTCGTCACACAGCAGGCTCGGCGCGTTCCCCACTTGCTCAAACACAGTTATGAGCGTCGAGCCTAAATCACAGACAAGAAGGAACGTGGCCTCGCTTTACCGAGGAGTAACTTGAGGACCTCAGAGCCAACGCGCTTTCCACTCGGAAGTGTGCTGTAATTCTTATCATCAAATGGCATATCATCCATTTGGAACCTGGAGACCATGCTCACGTCCCATTCCCAGAAGCCCCATTTGAGGGAGATTTTCTTTTTTTTAATGGAGGTGCTGGGGATTGAACCCAGGACCTCATGCATGCTTAGCATGCCCTCTACCACTGAGCTCTACCCTCCCCCCAGAAGCCCCACTTTAAGCATGAATTTCCCATATAGCGGCCGGGGCTGGGGGGCGGTGGAGCGGGCCTTACCGAGGCTCATGTAGGACGGCACAATGAGAAAGATGAAGTGGAGCTCTGGCACTTCCCTAAACACGGTCCTGGAGAGAGAGAGAGGAACGGGGTCAGTACACAGCCGCCCCGTCAGCAGGCACCTGCGACGGGCGCCTTCGCTGTGGGAGGGAGGCGCTGGTGCATCCAGTGGGCTCCCCGGCTCCCTGCCTGCAGAGGCAGCAACATCTTCCTCATGGTTCCTTTTTCTCCTCTGCTTTTCTTCGGCTCCCAAACGGCCCCTTTTCTATCCGCTCCACGGAGCTGGTGAGACTCGAGGACGCCAAGGCCACGTGGCACACCAGATTTCAGCTGATATTAACCTCTGACCTGGCATCCGGATGGGCTGGTGTGACATTACAAAGCGACCTGAAAGCTGAGGCCACCACTATTCCCAAGTGTCTGCGCAGTCCACCCACGGGGGCCCCAGGGGTCACGTTTCCACATCCCCTGTTACTCAGGGGGCCCCTGCAGTCTGTCACGCCAGTAAACATTTTTAAGGATAAGATTGGGGAAAATGATTTTTAGAAACACCTAAACCCTTTATCTTTCCCTAACTCCCCCAAATCCATTCCTTTAAAATGACCTGTTTTCCTCCAACGATAGCAGTTGGAGGCATGTGTGGAAGGTGCGTCCATTCAAAGGAAGGATGGCTTCCTTTCAGAAATACACGCTATTCAAAGTAAATGCTTTAATAGAGCCGCAAGTGACAAGCAGATTGAACACCTCAAAGAATTTCACGTCCTTTAAAAATATTTTTTAACCCTCCACAGGGATAAAGACATCCACACATTTTTGTCTATGGGGGACTGCCAGCTCACCCCCCTCCAGGTGTCACCGTCTGCAAGGCTGCAGCCACTCACCGAATAATCTCTTTGCAGCAGCCGACAGAATACTCATCCACGGCCACAAAGAGGTGCATGAACAGCGTGTTCAGAGGCTGTGGAAGAAAAGAGGATGCGACTGAGTCAGCATTCAGGCTGTCGGAGCAGAGCAGGGGTGGGAGGAGAGTGGAGGGGCAGCCACAGCACCGAGCTGCCTGGTTCCTGGGGACGATATTTTACATCTGAAGTGAGGAGATGCCCAGGCAGGGTTCAAGCCGCTCTCTGTCTTCCCAGCCCAGGATTTTTCAAGCAAACAGGAATCTTAACGACTTCAGCGCATCCAGCCCTCCCCGCTGCCCTCACTACCGGCCACAGGCGGGGTTGCGCGAGCGAGGGAATGAAATCGATTATTAACTCAGTGGCCTTGTCCGCAGGGTGTCTCTGCCAAGTGACAGACAATCACCCTTCCCCCGAGCCTCTTGAGTCAGCAGCTGCTGCTCTATTCAAGGAACACGAGGGAAAGACTCTCATGAATCTGGAGGATGGAAGGTAGGCACCATGTTAGGAATCCAGTGGCTTGTTTTGTTCAACAATCCGAATCAGAATCAGATACCACTTTCCGGATCCAGAAAACCTGGGAGCGGAGAACTCACAGGAGTGTAAGTCTAACATGACTTTCAGGTTAAATCTTCTGAGTTTTTAAAGAGCTCTGCCCCTAAACTTCTGAAGACTTCTTAAGTGGTCAGTAATGAGAACTGCTCCAGACATCCACACATTGGTCTGTTCAGCTCAGACCCTCGTGTTTAGGGGCAAATCCTCAAACGTTGGAGCTCCTGCAAACGTGAAGTGGCTGAGTGCTGAGGGCAGCGCCTGCACCTGACCCGGACAACAGGCGCGCTGTCTGTGTCTCGTTTTCTGAGCAGTTTTATACATGGCCTTAGGCGACACCTTGCACACCATGTGCCTTGGTCTTCCCTCCAGCGGGGTGGCACGTGCCTTGGGAACGCTCTCAAGGAGTGTTTACCAGGCATAAAATGGTGAGAGAAGAATCATGAGTTTGGTTCAGCAGCCTGAAAACTACCCCAAGGCAAATAACACGAACCCCAAAGTCCAGAAAACAACAGCGACAGCGCAGGTGGCAGCAATGTGGGCGCTTCCCACGGACTGACTCCCCTAATCCCACAGCACCGGCTTTACATTCTAAACAGGACAAGCCTTAGGAGCACATGGCTTGCTACTGGGCTGATTTAGCTCCTCAATTCTCTCTTCCATCAAACATATTATAGTTCACTAGTTATTCCTTGGCTTTATGTAAAACTCATCACTTCAGTGGCAGATGCCCCTGGAGTAGGTAATATCTTAAGCCTTAAGGCTCTACACCAATGCTGTCTAATAGGAAATAATTCAAGTCACAAATGCTCAGCATATATGTGGTTTTAAACTTTCTAGTAGACATATAAAGAAAGGAGCAAGGATAAACTGGTGAAATTAATTTTAATACATTTTACTTAACCTAACATATTCAACTTATTAGCCTTTAAGAAGCAGTCAACATAAAACTTGTCAATGAGGCATTTTACACTCTTTTTGGAACCGAGCAGGACCCTATGGGGGTCTTCCTGGGACAGACGTGTCCCCTGCTGCAGCTCCTCTCTGAACTACCCAGGTAATAGCATCTCACGTATACGCCCTGAGTTTTTCAGAGGCTAAAACCACCACCAAATGGAAATTAACTACTTAATGATCATGAGCAGTGGCCCCCCCAGACCTTCTGGTGCCTAGGGGTTGATAGTGTTGACTGCCCTGTTACCCCTACATCAGCCAATCAAAGAACTGTGCACAGCTGATCACTACCCAGGGCCACCCCTCCCTCACTTGGCCTTTAAAAATGCTTTATTGAAACCACTGGGAAGGGGCAGGGTTTGGGGTTTGGGCGCACAAGCCACCTGCCCTCCTTGCTCGACCCTGCAGTAAACTTTTCTCTGCTCCAAACTCCGACAGTCCAGTTTGTTTGGCCTCAATGTGTGTCCGGCACACGAATTGCATTTGGTACGTTTTTTTTCCTACTAAGTATTTGATGTCCGTGTATACGTTATCCTAACAGCTCAGCTCAGTCAAACGAGCCACATTTCAAGCGCTCAAGAGCTACGTATGGCTGGTGGCCACCTTACCAGACAGTCTACCTCTGTACTGCTCTAGGAAGTAGTTTTAAAGAAGCACTCTTAAGAGAACAGTTTATGAAAAACGGTGTTAATTTATAATTTTCAAAAAGGTAAAATCATGACCCATAATGCAAATACCATATGCACGTATCAGAGATTGATTCAACCCATCAATTTGGGAGGCAACTAGCGAGATGATTAAAGAAAAAAAACAAAAAAAAAAAAACAGCGATTCCCTGCCCTCGAGAGGCAGGCTTCAGGCAGTTTGACGAGGGAACATTAGAAGATTGTGGGGTTAGATACAAAAGAGGTCCTGTCCCCCTGGGCCAGAAACTGTAGCCTTTGAGGTTATCTCCTCCACCAGACAGAAGCCATTTACATCTCAAACAGACAAAAATCGACAATCTAATCAGTGTTCCTACGGAATTGGAAAACAGCCCAGTCAACGGAAAATCGCTCAAAGGTACAAGCACTGCCTGAAAGGCTCTTTTTGGTGCATTTCCACGTTGGAGATAATTTTCCTGACAGTGGTAACAGGGAGCGCAGAGCCCAGGGGACGAGGGGGAGGCAGCATCTCCCTGAACAGATGTGGGCAGCGCGGGGCGGGGCCTGTTTGCGCGCATGCGCGAACGCGCTCATTCCCGCCACCTGCGTTCCCCCGGCTGCGGGGAGGACACGCTCCGGAGCTCCGCTGACAGGGGCAGCCTCTGTCTCTCTGCAGCAGCTGGAGCCAGACGCTGGCCTGGCTCTGACAGGCACCAGCTACCAAAGCCCAAGTCCCTGGGAACCGCTGGTTCATCGACAGGTTGTCTGTAACGTGTCCACTGCTAGAAGACATCAGATGAGCCAGAGTCCACGAGGGCACTTTGAAAATTACAGAGCATGACTTGGATCTGAGGCTCTGTTGCCTTTTACGGGGGCAAATGTGTAAATGGCAAGGGCCCTCCCAGCAGGCCGAAGGCTTTGGAGACCTGGGAAGCCACGTCCTGACCCTCCCACTAATTCCTTGCTCCCTCATGGTCCTCCTCCGAGGCCTCCTGCTCTCAGATCCCCCTTCCCTCCCCACCAGCTAATTCCATTTCTGTCCATCATGTCTTATACATTCTGTTCTGAGTTTTGAACTGCTCAGTCTACAAACTAGAAAGATATATATGCAAACATTTTCCCCTGCAAAATCCAGGCTGTTCTAAGGAGGAAGGTGCGTGGTTACTTACTGTGCACGGGATTTCACTGTCCAGCTCCCGGAACACGGACACCCAGTCATGCTGCCGGGCGATATTCCAGTTGGGATAGTCCAGAAAGGTGGCCTGGGCCATGATCTCCTCCTGGTCATTGTGGAGGGTAATGGCAAGGTTTGCCTTTTCCCTGTGGAAACAATGTGAATTGCACACATGAAGACGATACCAAAAGGGAGGCGAAGAGGGTGTCGTTGTCTCCCACCTTTGGCCACTGGAACTTGGCAACCACGGTGAAAGGTATGATAACCGTTGGGAAAGGGGGGAGCGATTTGGCAGCAGCCCTGGGAGCGCATCTTTCAGGACATCTAGTGCAATCAACGGCACTTCCACCAAAAATGACATTTCACTAGAAGGGTGTTACGTTTATGATATGAAGCGTCCAATACCCTTCCCTTGGAGGCGGACTGGGCAAGTCGTCTGACTGCAGGTTTTTCCCTCCTCTCCACGTTGCCAGTTCCGCTGTGTGGGCCTGAACATGCAGTTAGGCTGGCCAACTGTCCCCGTTTGTCTGGGACTGAGAAGGTGCCCAGGACATCGGACTGTTGGTGCTAAAACCAGAAAAGCCATCAGTAAACTGGGATGGGTTGGTCACCTTCCCACAGCAGCAGTGCTTGGGGTGAGGGTGGGGGGGCTTGGGCCGGGTGCACCCCTGGTGGAGTCCCCCGGGGCTGAGGGGTGTGACTTCCTGTGAGACAGGACAGTGGCTGTTGCTGGCTGTTGGCACTGAGACTGACATCCGAAGCACAGGGTTTCTGAAAGGTACCCTCTGTTGGTACCCGAGGTGATCGGACTCGAAACATGCAGAGCAATTTTTGTTTTGAATGTTATATCTTCATTTTTATAGTTACCTTCCATTTACAGGAGGGGATACCAGTTTTCCATTTATGATAGTGATGTAATTTTTTATTGAAATACTTATTTAAGCCAAAAGTGAATTATTTTAAAGAAAATAATTAAATACAAGAAGTGCATGTGTGTGAGAGAGAGCTGAGAATTTGGCCCACCTTGGTCAGTATTTTAAACCACTTTGTCCAAATCCTGAGCCCAAGTCCCTGGGCTAATGGATCTACTGGAATCCGAGCACCTGCAGTACCACCGAATCCAGCTGCAGCGATGGGGACCCTGAGGGTCTTGTAAAGTGGAGGCGACTGGGTGAGTTGATAAAGATGAGGTCCTCCTACTCTTACTCTGCTGGCTGTGCCACAGGGGCGTCCTCAAGGTCCCTCCCAAGGGCTGCCCCGTGACGTGGCCTGTCATGGCAGCAGGAGTGGTGACTTAGAGACAGCACGCCGTTTACTACGTGGACAACCACTTGTATGTAACTTGAAATGCAGTTTTCATTTTCTCAGCTGAATGGAATCTACTGGTGTTTTAAGTTAGAGAAAGAGAGATTTAAATGTTCCTTCAAAAAGCAAAGAAGGCAGAAGTTACCCATATTCCTGTTAAGGAGACCAGGAGAGAAGACAGCATACGACCACAGAGGAGAGACCAGGGGGAAGCTAGAGAGAAAGTCATGTGCGCTTCCCAGCGAGGTTTCTGCTGGAGACTGATGCGGCATCAGTGCAGTCGGAAGTAGGAAACACAAGCAGGGAGAGAAAACTAATTTGGAAAAAATCACCCTTGATACCACCTCCTATTAATAACTGACGACTGTCCGTATTTTGGCGGCCATCTCACTAGACTTACCTTTCTTTTTGAGTGTAGTTATACATTGCTGTGCACTTTGTGCATCTATAAAAATGGAATCCCACAACCCATACTGTTTGTAGCCTGCTTTTCTCCACTTGTTGGCAGAACATTATCCTAGAGCCGTGCAGCAGAGGGCGGACTCTCAGACACGTGCATTTCTTGTGCTTATTTTCGTAAACCAGTTCACTTTTGGCTTAAATAAGTCCATTTCAATAAAAAAAATTACATCACTATCATAAGTGGAAAACCAGTATGCATTTCTATACATAGAAGGTAACTATAAAAATGAAGATACAACATTTAAAGTAAAAATTGCTCTGCACGTGTCAAGTCAAATCACCTCGGGTACCACCAGAGGGTACGTCTGGGAAACACTGTGCTTGGGATGTCAATCTCAGTGCTGACAGCCACCAGCCACCATCCCCTCTCATAGGAAGCCACACCCCTCAGCCCCGGGGGATTCCACCAGGGGTGCACCCGGCCCAGGGGCCCCGGGCAAGCACAGCACCTGCCTGCCCTCAGGTACCGAGAACACCGAATCCATATGGGGTGCTCCTCAGTGGGAGGAAGTAGCCCCCAGCTTCTCCCATCTGACTCACTGAGGACCCTTCCCCTCATTCCACTCCAGGAGGGCCCTCCTCCTCCCCCAGCTCCTGGTTCCCTGGGCTCCTCTGCTCCGGGTTCCCGGAGCCACGACCTAAGATTCACGCTGAGAGTTCTGACTCTAATTCAGATGAAAAAAGGCCCAGGGCAAGGGAGCCCGCTCACGTCATTGACGGCAGTGGAGGAGGAGGTGGGCAAAGCTGGGACCGGGCAGCCGCCATCCCCTCAGGGAAGCCCAGGAGATGTGTTCCTGGAATCCCAATTTGAACTTGAAATGCATTTGCCCACGAGAACCTAGGGTGGGGGCTGTGTTCGGTACTGCAATTAGCGCAGCACTGTACCACACAGACGTTACAGATTAAATAGGCTTTTGTGGGTGGGCCTGGGAAGACAGCCACGAATAACTCTGTTTCAATGGGAAAATGCATCGCAATTTCCAAAGAGCTGACTGCAAAATGTAACTTTTGCAGCACATCCTTCTGAATATATAATTTCCACTTCTTACTTCCTCTTAGCCATTAGGTCCTCTACAGGACAGAT